CTGTTTTTTGTATCTTGTCACCATACTTTTCACCATATTCATGTTCTTTGATTCTTTTCTTCAAACTTTTTAGTGTAAGTATATATATATATATATATAAACTTACACTAAAAAGTTTGAAGAATATGACAAACATGACAAAAAATTATAAATATAGCTTATAGCCCAGCTGCATTTGTGGTTCAGCTCAACAATAAGGCATTACAGGAAAAGAGAAAAATTATTAAAAATAAAAAAATCTAGCCACAGTTAAAATGTTAGACACAGACAGACATAAGTAAAACATGCATCATGGAAAATTGTATCAATACTAGAGACATTTCTCCTGATGTTTGGAAGTATACCAGGTGACCATAATTAAAGTATCTCTATTCAATGCTGTCTAAAGAGATACTTAGCAAGCCAAATGCAATCAGATATGGTACAGTCACATTTTAGAACATGTTGTGAGACATTTCCATTAAAAAAAACTCACCACTAAGACACTTTTGTCACTGAAAAGTAACAAACACTATTTGTACAAGACACTCATGCTATATAGAGACCTTAGCAATACAATTTTATCCCCATTCTGAAGGCGTAAAACCTGAAGGAAATGAAAATAACAATCATCCATAATTTTCTGTAATGCCTCTTATATGAAGTGTGATACTGTCTTTTGAAGCTAAATTTGTAACATTATGTTAATAAATCACTCTTTAAATATTCCCATCAAAACTCCCATGAATTCAAAATTCCAAAACTGACCTAGTAGTGAGTTTTGGTACTAATACAGTAGAGCGTCATTTATCCAAAAGTTGGTTATCCGAAAGAATTCCAGTTGGCAAATTTAAATTTTCACTTGTGCTGTGGTGCTGAAATCTTTGGCTAGATCTTGGGCTACAACAATATTTTTTTTTGTTGATGTGTGTGTTTTAGCTGGCAGCACTGACACTTTTGTGCGGTGTTTTTCTGAGGACTGTGTGTCGTGCTGAATCGAAGGTTTTTGATACTAGATTAACTTCTAACGTATAATTTTTTTTTGTTTTTATATTTTTCAATGTATTTATTTTGTTTGTAAAAAATAAAGAAATAAAATTTTTAACGATACAATAGCCACAATTATTATTTTAAAAAGTTTACATTAGGCTTAACATCGATGAAAATTCAACACAAAGCGACACGCAACGGAGAAAATAGGATAGGTTAATAGATTTTTTCGTACATAATCGGTTATCTGAACAACTCCAGTCCCCAATTGATTCGGATAAACTATGCTCTACTGTACTATTTTATATTAAAATGTCTTCCACATGTCCCAAAATGTCACCGTACCAAAAATTTAATTATATTTGGACTGCTAACTTTACATACAATGTTGGATACATATATAATAATAATACTGATTAAAATGAGATAGCTACAGCATTTTCATGTCATTTCATTTATTTATATCTATGTAACGTCACTTATTTATCTTTCAATATTAAAAACAATATTTGTTTAAATACAGGAAGACCATGCTTAACGCGGGGGATGTGTTCCTAGATGACAAAGCGCTAAACAAAACAGCGTTAAATGAGGTCATTTTAACATAAAGTAAATATGGATAGAGGAACATGAAACCAAAAATAAAAAAATTTTACTTTAATTTTAAGTTATTTTTATATTAATTTGTATAATAATATATGTTAAATAACATATAGACATATATTATTATACATTTCTGTGTGTATATTAATTAGTTCATTTTTCTATATTAATTGTTCATGTTTTGTGACAAAGGTCTTGGCTTTTCTGAAATTCTAGCTTTTTGCAATAAAGTCGTAAAGTTTCATTTGTTGCTTTTTTCTTTCCTTAAGCAAATGTCAGTAGCAGAAGATCGCATCCAAAATGCCTCATTTTGCTTTTGCATTCTTTTCAAAATCTAGATCATTTGCTACAATTTGATGAACGATTTCGGTTATCGTTACCAAACTTTTACTAAGGAAAAATGTAGAGAAACATTTTGGGTTCTTTGTTTTCAGAATCTCTATTTTCCAGTTCTACATGAATTCCTTTGTTTTGCCAATTCTTGAAGGTTGTCGTTGATAAGACTCTCACCAGAAACCTACAATAACTCCTCAATATTCTGTTTGTCTACATCTCCTAGTCCTGCTGTATCAATTAGGTTGAGTTTGATCAACCTAACAATACAGCAATAGGCTCTTCTCATTGAGAATTCTTGGATACCTTCAGCCATAACTTCTTCCACACTTTATTTGTGCATTTATCGGTTAATTTTTGCTAAGCAAAGTCGATATTGTCTATGGCATCCATGATGTTATATTTTTTCCAAAATTGCACCAAACAAACATAGATTTAAAGAAAGTACACCTTTTGGCCACCTTTTTCTGATTGGTTTGTTTTCGTAAATAATTGTATTATATATGAATAAATAAAATGCCACGATAATTTAAATCAGCATTAAGCAGGATCTTACTGTACTTAAATTTTTAATTTCATCAAACATATCTGATTCTATTTTCATTATGTAGACCTGATGATAGACATGTATTTAGATTAAAAGTATTAGTCAGGTAAAAATTTTCTGCTGGTTTAAAAGTTGGGTATTACCTCTTTATTAACCAATCTAACAAGCTAATATTCCTAAAAAATTATTAAATTGTGTGACAACTTAAGCAATTTCAATCAACTTCAAAAATTTAATTTCAGAATAAATTGATTTTAATATTTAAGAAACAATCAGTAATTTTTGCATACCAGATTCAATATCAGTAGTTTTTATTACTGATTGGGATGTGCTGCCATTGCTCTCCGATGAAAATGTAAATTCTCCACTTTCAGTACTCCCAACAGGGCTGGTTTGATGCATTTCCTATAAGTTTTACAAATTAAAATTAATTTTAAAAATTAAACTTTTATATTTCAAAAAAATTTAATTGGCAAATATATATAATAAGCCTTATCAGTTATAAAGTTAAATATCAATGTTTGTATTTGAAGCCTTTATATAGTTATTTCTGTTACACTTACTTGCCTACTTTAAGATTTAGTTATGATTATTATTATTTTTTTTTAAATTAATAAATATGCCTCAACTTTCAATATTTTCTCAATTTATATTATACAGGTATCCCTTGATTAATGCAGTTAATTAATCCCATGATCCTATCGCACATATCAAAATATGGTATCTATGTTAAGTAAAGACAGCTGGTAAAAAGCCACATAAATTAAAACTTCTGGTGTGTATATAAAGGGATTGCCACAATTAATTTCATGTGTTAATTCATTCCTGCAGGAAGCAAGGGATACCTGTATTACTATTCTAATAAACATTATAAGCAAATAATGAGAAATTTAAAGCACTTTTTTCTTCTGCAAAAACTCTAAAATTTCCAAAATAATCAATTTTCTTCACAATTTCGCCCCTCGTTATATCGAGGATTCAGATATATTGTACTTTTTTTGTCCCAAAATTTTATTTTAAAATTTTCGAGACCAAATTAAAATATCAATTGCCATTGAATTTCTTTTTGCAACAGAATACAGTATTGTATTCCTACCATTGTCCTAGAAACTACCAATGCAGGTGAAACAATAAATTCAAGATCTAAATAAGCAAAACAGGTGGACAGATCAATTATCATTTATGTTTTCTTTTAATATCAAAAGTTGTTTATTTATTGGTTTTAAGTACTGTCTCCTCATTTACAAGTTTCTGTGAATTCAAAATTTTATGCCTTTATGTGAATTGACGGTATTGAGAAAATTCAAGAAATAAATGAATTCATCATCCTTATCTATTAACACCATCACAAAACTCAAAACAGACATGACAGTATCAGAGACACTACTTGATAAATTCACACAAAAATACACACATCTCACTGTTACAGAGAAAAGAGTTGTTAATCAAAAAAGAACAATTATATGAAACAACCTTATTCCACAATCAATGCTTGAACATAAGGAACAAGTGCAGAGTAGATACATCAACATATAAACACTGAATCAATTGATAGATGAGACACTCATTGACAGTACCTCAACAGCAGTCATTCATGAAAACATACTGCATAACATGCATCAATGAAAACAATTATAGCTAGTGACACTACAGACACAGATTTAATTAATACATTAATTTACAGTGGTACCTCAGGATACGAAATTAATCCGTTCCGACACTGAGATCGTATCATGAAAATGTCGTAAGGTGAATCATTTTTCCCCATACAATTACACGTAAAACCAAATAATTCGTTCCAACGCGAAAAACATACTCAAATTAAAGCCAAGTAATACATTAAAAAAATAACTGTAATAAGAAAAACAAATGAAAAATGCGAACTAATGTAACGTCGTATGGTGAGTTTTTGTTCGTATCGTGGAGCAAAAATATGTTCGAATTTCATGTCGTATCCTGAAAATTTCGTATGCTGGGACGTTCGTAACCTGAGGTACCACTGTATTTGAAGAAACACTTACTAGACACCCAGGTTTAGTCCCCACTGTGACCATGAATATCCCAAAATTACACATCAAAATGCATTGGAAAAAACTACACTACTTAAATATGGACATACATATACATACATATATATATATATAACAAAACACATTCAATCAGAATCAACACTTTCAGATATATATACATTAGTCTATTCTGGTGCAGTCAATATACCTACATACTATAATTTTAAACTATAATCACAGACAATCACAATCAGAGCACAGACAAATCATAAAACCTGCCTGACANTATATAATTAACAAAACACATTCAATCAGAATCAACACTTTCAGATATATATACATTAGTCTATTCTGGTGCAGTCAATATACCTACATACTATAATTTTAAACTATAATCACAGACAATCACAATCAGAGCACAGACAAATCATAAAACCTGCCTGACAAATACTAGAAACATAAATACATAACATTAGACAACAATTAAGCAGGCTAATACAATACATCCAACTTAATGAAAGAGGTTAAGAAAATAAAAAAAACACACACACACCAATATGTATATACAGGAATATATTAACATTCTCAAACAAAAACTAGCAGCAAAATTGCAAAGATTGAAATGATATGCTAGAGAAAAAATTATTTACAAAGCACTTTTCTACAGACTACATACCAAACTCATCATACAATCACAGCACAGTGGCATGCCAGCAGAAAAACAATTAGACAAACAATTATTGGTCTACTCTTTGGTCACACACACAACTAGATCAAACATGCTTGAGAAACAAAAGAAAACATGCATGATATACCAGTCTTGCCCTGTGTCAAAATAAGCATATACAACATCCAACACGCATTACAAAGAACACAGTGGAAAAAATACCTAATGGATACAACATACAATTTCTGGTACAAAAAATTTACATCATTGCATCAGGAAATAGCCAAACATTTTACAAACACAATTCACAAGACATGCCAAAATTTGTTACATAGGGCATTGCATATATGAAACCCAAAAGCCAACACCACCAGAGATCTGTGCACAATACAGACAAATCACATGCCTTTCTATACACTACAAAATACTATGTAATGATTTCAATAGTGGGTTGTAGGTAATTGACACCCTCTGCTTATCCTTCTCCTGGTTGTCATTTATTGAATTAACTCTTTTAGAAGGAGCCATTATTCCCCCTAATCGTTGCGACATTTTTTGTATGATGTTATGGTAGCCATGGTGTTTGGCCACTTCGCAGGTCCTCCAAAGTCAATATTCAAATCCAGAAAATGCACCGATGAGTGAGTCACTGTGCTGCTCGTCCTCCAGGGTCAGACTGTAGGGGTTGTTCATTTGACTCAAAAATCGGATGATGTTCAGAGAGTCTCTCCAGACTTTGGAGGACCGATCATACATACCTCTGTGTACCGCAAACCATCAGACTATCCAACATATATCCCGGCGGACTCTTGTGACCCTGTCCAATACAAGATGGCGGCATTTAGGGCCCTAGTTAAAAGGGCGCACTCACACTCCTCTACTCAAGGGGCTTTAGAAAAGGAGCTGCAATACCTATGCGAAGTGGCCGAACACCATGGCTACCATAACATCATACAAAAAATGTTGCAACGATTAGGGGGAATAATGGCTCCTTCTAAAAGAGTTAATTCAATAAATGACAACCAGGAGGAGGATAAGCAGAGGGTGTCAATTACCTACAACCCACTATTGAAATCATTACATAGTAGAATTGCAAGGCAGAGGGGTATCTCCCTAGCCTTCAGAAGATGTCCATCTATATTTGATATTCTTCGCAATGGAAAGGACAAATCTAAGGAAGAAAGACTGCCAGGGATATATAAAGTGCCACTTAGGGACCACTGTTTTGGCAAGGACTTAATTTACATAGGCTCAACGAAACGTGCTGTTGGGATCAGGTTGAAAGAACACATGCGTGACATTCAACATAATAAATGTTCCACGTCCTTATCCACTTACACATCTGATCCAGAGATAGTAGCAGACTTTTCAAATGCTAAGTTAATTATCACCTCCTCATATTTAGACCATCTCAAATGGTTGGAACAGATAGAGATATACAAGGCATACAGCACTTCGTCACCCATTAATTCCATAGATGAGATCTCTCTTCCTGCTGTATTAGGGCCTGCCATGCCCTAATACAGCAGGAGGATTAAGTGAATTGTAAACCTAAAAGAAGGGAAGTAAAAAGGGGTAGTCTGTATTTATGTGATATGTTTGTTATGCTTAACAACAAAGATCTTCGTAAAATCTTTAAAAAAAGGGAAACATTTAAATAATTCTCGACGTGATGTAGAAGATTTGACGTTCGGAGCTAGTGATCACGTGATTCCTTTCTATCTTTCCATATTTAAAAATTGTTCCAAACGAATGTTTTTCGTATTTAATAACGTTTCAAATGATTTTTACCTGAAGAAGAACCCAGGAGGGGTCTGAAAACGTTTGTAGTATTAAATTTTATTTCACATCGGTTAAAGGTTTTTCTGAGGTACATGATGTTCATTCAACACTCATTACATTTTTAGAAAACAATGCAACACTGGAGAGCAGCATTACATCTCAGACTACATCAAAACAAATCAAATAAATGTAAAGTGAGGCCTTTTCCAGGGAGAGTCTTAAATCCACTTTGGTTTTGTCTGGCCTTGAACCCAGTATCCAATAGATTAAAAAACACTAAATACAGATATAACTCAAACACAACAAAACAATACAATACATATTATCTCATCTCGTGTACATGATGGCATAAAACTATGCATCCATACAAACACAGCTAAAATACTTGCTAGATTGTACACATTTGTTCCACTGATATTCAAATATTTGGCCTAGACAAATACTAAACACATCATGTAGGTAAAAAAAAAAAAGAATCGTGAAGAAAAACGAGTTTCAGAAATAATTTCATTATTGAATCTACAAATATTTAAAATCCAACAGGCCAATCTCACAAAATACACACACCAAAAAAAAAAAAAAAACAAAGACTAACAAAGGACACAACAGCAGATAAAACTGAATACTACAGTGCACAGAAATCTCAAAGCATTAGGTCTTCACAAAGCCATGTACAGCAAGATGCATTAAATTTTAGACAGTGAAATATGGATATGTTTCATTTGTTTTAGGGAGCTAGGCATATAGAATATGCAAAAGAAAGGTGAAAGAATTGCTATAACACTAATTACAGTGGAATATGCAGTGGGATTGTGACACTTGTAAAGTAAGCTATAATTCACATTATAACATTTTCTTGCCTTCTTTTTGCATATCCTCTATACAATTCCTTACAAAACAAATGAAACATACCCACATATTCTCATTGTCTAAAATTTAATGCATCT